TACTACTACTACTACTACTACTACTACTACTACTACTACTACTACTATACTGGTGCTGCTATGAGTCATGATTAAATGCTGGAGAGGGCTCATGTACAAACAGCTGTTTTGGTAGTGTCTTTATTGGGCGTTGTGGTTTGGACTGCCTTGCACACATTTTTTGGGGGGTCTCATTGCCGCATTGCCATTGGTTGCCTGGGAGATGGGTTTTCTCAGATTTGCAGTGGGATTGTCACCCATTTATTCAATTTATTCTACAGGAAAAACACCTCCTGCGAGATTGGATTTGAATTCACAGCTGAAGGCAATCCAAGATGGTATCCAAGGTTTTTACAGCAAAACTCCAGCACTGGTTGTCGAACGGTCTCAATCATCCCGACATTGATCGGGCCGCGCAGGCTAAAGAAGCTGGGTTGTTTTCGAGGTACACTACGCGATGCTTCCTTCGTCAAGTAAGACATGTCAAGTTGTCAAGACTCAATTTTTGCGCCTCTCGATGCTGACTCTGATGTTTGCCATCTCCACTTGAGTGTCCGCAAAGTCTAGTTTCCCGTCTTCGGTCACACCTTTGATTTGGACCCAGAATCTTGCACATGTTTTATCAATCCAGGACTATGGTCATTTGCTCTTCGTGCCTTGGACCAATTCGATTTGGACTCATTCATCAACAGATTCAACAGTCGGTCAATCAATGATCAAGCTGATCTACCTCCCCGAAAAAGCTGCTTTTGACCTTTGATGTATTGTGAACAAATTCACCATGGCAGGATACAGAAGTAAACAATCAAACCCTAACCTACACTTTGTGGAGACACAATGGAGCACAATAGATAGTCAGTCAGGGTGGGGGTGGCGGCTTCTCATTTGACAGATTGCAACGCCTTGTGTTTGAAGGAAGACGGAGAGCCTTTGACCTTTGCAGAGTTCATGGAAGGAATGATGACCCTCCGTGGCTCAAACCAGACCACCGTGAAGGATCCGATTGCGAAGCAAGCAGGTGATTGACTAGGTTTGTTGCTTTCGAGACATTTGGAGATGTCAGTGTATGTCACGAACAACATCTTGTGTGAAGGGCCACAGTATCATGACATAGGACGTACTGTTTGGCACATCTACCATCAGGTAGTCAAGGTCTCATGAGGGCCAGAGGATGTATTATAAAGTCTGTTTTGCTTCCTTATGGATTCCCTTCACGTGTATTTTTTCAGAGCCTCAGTCTTAGCCTGGTTGTGTTCTTTGTTGATGCGCTTTGTTTGGTTGAACACAGGTTCTTTTGAGGGAGTGGCCACTAGTCACTAGACTTAATGTAGATTTTCCGGCAATTGCAGGATGACCCTTGCACGATATGCCACCTGAAATTCAAGCCCTCGGATGATAGACCTTCATGAGAGCTCAAAACACTTGGCACTAGAGGGTCGGTATGGTCTAATTAGTGGCTATGACGCATCCCTCGTGCGTCTGACCCGGGTGTGGACCATTCAACACAACAGCAACACTTGGCACTGACACTATAAACATTCCATGAGTGCTTGGTCACTGATCACAATTGAAGATTTGATGTTAGCTAAGCCCGTTTCCAGGACATGGTGGATTTACGGAAGTTCACTGCAGAAGAGTTCTCCAGTCTTCATAAAGTCCTTCTGGATATTTGCACATTTCTTGCAAGTCACTTGGTGAAGAAGAGGAGCTACCAAAATCATTTAATTTATGCTCAATGTCTTGTAGTCAGATCGTCTTTACTACTGAACTTATACCCATCACACAAGAACACGCATGGCTGAAACGCAAGCAAGTAATTGCCACACTCCAGCTGGGGTTTCACAAGCCTCCTGGTACTGTCATCACCAGCTGTTCACTTATCAAACAAACAATTGTTTTTGACCCTATGTGAGTGTAGTTGTTGCTTATGTGTCCTTGGGAACAGTTGAACAGTTGAACCTGTGTCCTTCATGCGCCGTGCACTGCCCAGCAACTCACAACCAATCCAATCTAAATGTTTCCAACAGAACGATATATCCAACATGCCAACATGCTAACGTGTTTTTGGGATCATGGAATCAAAGCGCCTAGGAGGTTGGAACAAGGCAACACCTGGTTCGCTTGCGACGCATTTTACACATCCAGTTGCCTGGTTTGGATCACGGTAAAGGTGCTGAAATGCGCGAAGGATCTGAACAGGTCCGGTGGATGTTTACAGGTCCTTTGTTTCGTCACCATTCCTGAAGATTTCTGCGTTTTGAACGGGAAGTTTCGAGATGCTAAGGCCAAGGGATGCCAAGCAGCACCCTGCATCGTGTCTCCAGTAGTGTGCGCTACTCCAGGGCGTCGCGCATGACGCAGCATGCCAGCGCCAAACCTCAGTGGCGCCTGAGATTTGCAGTCAGATGGGGCATGGAGACTGTGGGCTGTAGCAAACCAGCCTGATGGAGTTTGCGCGCAGGTTTGTTTGGAGATTGTAGATAATAATAGATCATTATCCACTTGTCTTCAACCTTCTTCGCACTTTTACTGTCTAGAGGCTGAAGCCTACTGGTTGTGCAATTGTATTGGAATACTGCAGGCTCGGACTGCACATTCATGAGAGCCCGGGGTTTGGAGAGGCTTTGTCGCATGGCACAATTGTCAAAGTTGTCACTCATCTGTTGTTGAGTTCCTTGGACAGACACAAACGTCCTCTCCATTTATCAGACTCAAAATTCTGCTGCACTTTATAAAGCAGAACCTTTGAGCCCTAAGCTTTCTTTGTGTCTAAGTATTCCAGGTGGTGTTTTAGGAGTGCAGGATTTCATTCACTAATCTACGCACATTCAGCACCGAGGCTGGAGCCACCCGGACCCGATGGTCACCGGCAAACTTTTGCAGACCGGCCAACGTTTGCAAAAAAAATTGTCTGATTAATTTACATTCCAAGAGTTTCGCAGGTTCAAATTGCAAGCTTGGAACTTTTGAGTTGAGCACCGTCATGCCTTGTTTTGGAGTGTGTTTCATAATCAGTAAACTCTACATAACTACTCATTTGAAGCCTGCATCGTTTCACCCCTTGGCTGCGTTGATGTGGGCCAACCTGATAAGTCAACTTGCAGCCATGTGCCAAATAATACAATGTCTCCATGTTGGTGTTGAGCAAGGGCGAATGCCGCTGCGTGATTGGTGAAACCAAACACACGCAATCCAACGGAGATTTTCAACGATCGTAGAACACAAAACAATATACAATATTGAATCACTGTTATTGTTACAAGAATAAATAGAGAATACTTTTATAATGGGACCGAATCTCTGGCAGAACTGAACCGGGTCCGGAAATTTCAACCTAAAGTAAGAATTATATTGTTCAGTGGCTGGCATACTGTAGATCATGCTTTGCACAGCCGGTACCATTGCCGGTGGGCGAAGGGTAGCGTGTTATTAAACGATTCCAAGTTAATTGGCGTGCTAACCCTGGTTTCCGCCTCAATGGCGGCCTTGTGATAATGATTTTATCCAGGCATCCATGGGGCGTATGCCTAATGAATTGGGTTTGAGACCCTGTATGGCAATCCCTGCTGATAAAGTATCCTCAAGGCATCCCCCATTGGATTTGGGCTCCTTTTTTTT